GAATATTAGACTTCCCTTTTTTCCCGTCTGGGTTTTGGTTCACACTCGGCGATGCCCACGGGTTACCTCCTGGCTCTGGACTCGGGAATCACTCCTGGAGGTGCTTGGGGGATCATATGGGGGTATCGGGAATCGGACCCGGGTTCGCTGCGTGTAGGGCAAACGCTCTCCCCGCTGTTACTATTGCTCCAGCCCGCAGCCCTTCCAGTTTGAATCAATAACCGAATAGACCTCCTTCCCAGAGTTGTTTTGCTATTTTACAATTGATAAGGATGCGGAAGTAACTAAGATTGCTAATAGCTATTTTACTTATAGTGATATCAAAGTAACTCATAGCGTGTAATTACTGAGCCTTCGAGGTGACACCACGATTCAACATTCGAGTTCCTGTGGCGCTTTGGGGACAGTGCGGCCAGCAGGCTTTAGACTGTTAAATCTTCCTAGCTCTTAAATATTACACTGTTACAATAGTCTTGATGTAGTAAGTGGAATAATTATACCGCTATTTCACAGTGCTATTAGAGGATGAAAAGACCATTAGTGATGTTGTCACACGTGTTACCTATACCCAATAAAGACTCACCATCTTTATTGGCCAGGAGCTGAACCAGAGAGGTGGGGTGCAAGGGAGCCCCAGGCTGGATCCACTGAGCACCCTGTAGTGAGGGCACCTCCCTGCCCCCCCCCCCCCCCCCCCCAACATCCCACCAGTCACAGAATCAACCACGGGGCTGCTCACGCATCATGTGAACACGAGGACTGGAGAGACAGGCCAGGAGGCAAGGCGCTGGCCTAGCTTGCGGCCACCCCTGGTCAATTCTTTGGGCCACTCCTGGGCATCTCTGGGCGTGGCCCAGACTCTCCCCCACCGGTCCCTCAGCCCTTCTCCCTGCGGCACTGCCCTTGTCTCTGAGGTCGCTCCCGCTCGCTCCCTAGGCTTGGGCGTCTCATCTCCCCACTCTGCGCCCCCCTAAAGATCTGGACCCTCTTTCTTCTCGAGGCGCTGAGGCCCGGGTGGGACACTCGTCCGAGCAGGCGGCCTTTCTCCTGCCCATGCGCATGGAGTGCCCACGGGGACTGTGCTTGTGTGTGTGGTTTGTCTCTGGGCCTGGGGGTGCCCGGGCACGGCCCGGCCTTTTGCTACACTGCAGGAGGAGGAGGGGCAGGAAGGTGGCTGGGTGGTGCTGGGGGACAGACCGAGGTTTCGGGGGACAGGGAGGTTGGGCCGAGATCCTGGCTGGGTGCCTGGGGCCCTGTCACTCGGCTGTTCTCCTCTGGCCTCGCCATCGCCCCCTTCTGGCAGGAAGAGAATTTGGGGGCCCAGGAACTTGGCCATCTGTTCTCTTGGAACCCCGAGTTCCCTGTCCAAGAAGCCTCCCGGGGCGCCTTCCTGCTTCCCTCCGCTCTGGTCTGGACCACAGCGGGATGGCCGCAGGGCTCGGAGAGGCCAGAGCTTTTTGGCATAGTGAGCCTGGGGGAACCCGAGAGTTCCAGGTGGGAAAGTTGCCTTGGAGGTGCCCTGAGGTGTCTGTGGCGAATAGGAGCTGCCAGCGCTTCCTGGCTTGCTCAGGGCTGGAGGGTTCTTTGGGCGCCTCGCCCCAAGAATGCCGGGTCCCCAAGAGGGAAAGTGATGTTTCCAGGAGAAACTGAGGCCCAGGGTGGGGCTGCAGCCACCGTGACTCCTGAGGGGCGGCTATGTGGCCCCTGAGTGTGAGGGTGCGACCTTCAGGTCCGGGGGGGGGCAGGGAAAGGGTGGAGACGATCCCCCCAAGAACCTCCAGTGGCGCTGAGCGGGATTTGCCATCGTGGAGATGGTGGTGAAGGAGGCAAAGGCGATGGAGAAGGTTTAGAAAAAGCAATGAGAGGATGGGCCTGGGCACGGGGGGCTTTGCTCAGAGCCTGGAGGGAGGGGGCTGCAGTGTGGGGTTCGGAGGGTCTGGGGGTTGCTGGGGGCGGGGGCAGGGAAGTGACAGCCGGGCTGTGACCCGGGCCCACGGGTGGGTAGTTTGTGGGAGAGTTTGTCTTTTACAACTTGATTTTCTTTTCTTTTTTTTTTTTTTTTTCTTTTTTGGGTCACACCTGGCGATGCACAGGGGTCACTCCTGGCTCTGCACTGAGGAGTTACTCCTGGCGATGCTTGGGGACCATATGGGATGGTGGGGTTCGAACCCTGGTTGGCTGTATGCAAGGCAAGGCAAACGCCCTCCCCGCTGTGCTATCGCTCCGGCCCCTACAACTTGATTTTCTGCTTAGAGGAAGGCCCAGCTGCTTCCTAGCCTGTTGGTTGGTGAGACTAAAATCCTCCCCGCTCCCAGGCCTGCTCATGTTGGCTGGTTTTGCTCAATAAACTCAGTAGTTGCTTCCACTGGTGACTTGACTTCAATTTTCAGTCTGATTAAAAAAAAAAACCTTGGGGGTTACTTGAGCGCCCAGACACAATCTCTCTCTCTGTTCTGGTTGAGGGCCCACACCTGGTGGTGCGGCGGACGGAACCCCGATCCCCGCTGTGTTACCGGTCTTGTCACTGCGTTTAGCATATAAGCCGCATCACTGGACTGGCTTGTGGTTTGTGGTCACGAGTACCTACCCTCTGAGTCACACCTATTTTGGACAAAATGTTTTTCAGGAGAATTTTATTAACGCTGGCTCCCCCCCCCCCCCATCCCACTAGTAGTTCCAGAGAATTGCTGGTTTATATTCTCGCTCTTGCTGAGCTGTGAAAATAGTGGAGGGTGTTTAGACTTCTTAACATTCGGATTGTAAGTAAAAATGATTTCTGTTACTATCATGCGGTCAGAAAACAGAAATTGAAAGTAGTCACCACTCTGGCAATATTGAGCGTTACTGAGATGGCATTAAAGACTTTCTTAATTTCTGTTTTTTTTGGGGGGGTGTCACACCCCCCGGCCGGCTCTGGGGACCCTGCAAGGCCGGGCTGGAATCTTCAGGCCAGCCTCCAGCCCTGCTTGCTTTTGATTCTTCAGAAACATCGCTTTCCATTTTCTGTTTTTGCGTTTCACTTCGGGGGTCACAGCGCTGCCCACTGTGCGTTGGGGGGGGGGGGTCATGCAGAACGAGGGCCTGAGCTCGGGTCTCTGGCCTGGAAAACACGTGCTCAGTCCTGGGGGTTCTCTCGGGGGCCCGCCCCCACCTCCTGATGACAAAGGGGTCTAGGTAATGAGGTGAACTGTCTTTTGCAGGGTTTTCTCTTTTGGGGGTGGCAGTGCCCGTGGTTCTGGGGATTAAATTGGGGGTCGCTGCCTGCGGGGTTATGCCTACCAACCAACCCGCCCGCGTTCCAGGTATTTCCTTTCTTTTGTTCTTGGGCCACACCTGGGCCGCTCAGGTTTTACTCCTGGCTCTGTACTCGGGGTCACTCTTCACAGGCTCCAGGGACCATATGGGGTGCTGGGATGGGACCCAAGTTGGCCGCATGCAAGGCAAGGCCTCCCTGCGGTGCGATCTCTCTGGCCCTTTCAGGCTGGTTTTGGTTCTTTTGGGGGGGCACAGCGGCCTCGGAGCTGCGGGGGTTGCTCCCGGCAGGGCCCCTGGGTGCTAGGAGGAATCTGGGGTCCGGCATTCGAAGACCGTGCTCAGCCCCTCAAACTGTCTCTCTTCCCTCTCTTCAAAGATGTTTGATTTTTCTGCGTTCTTTAATTTTGATATAAAAAAAAGTTCTGTTAGAAGTCTGAAAGCTTTGACATACAAAATTGAATACAAGGTAGCTTTCTGTTATTGTTTATAAGCAGACCTGGCAGTGCTCAGGGCTTTCTCCTTGCTGTGTGGTCAGGGGTCACTCCTGGTAGGGCTTGGGGACCACGTGGGGTGCCGGGGACTGAATCCCAGGTCAGTTGTGTGTAGGGCAAGTGCCATACCCACTGTGCTGGTCCCCCAATAAAATGTGGCATTTTAGGAATAATCTAATTGACGCCGGATTGACAGTCATCTCCCAGGGGAAAAACCTGCTTATCTTTGCCTGGAACTCTTCGCTGTGTCACATTTTGACCAAAAGCCGAGTGATATTGAGGAAAACATGCGAGATTAAAGATTTCCCAGGGGCCAGAGAAATAGTACAGTGGGATGGGCATTCTGTCCCTGGCACCTCGCATGGTCCCCTGAACCCTGCCAGGAGTGGTCCCTGAACACAGAGCCAGGCGTGATGCCGGAGCACTGCTGGGTGTGGCCCAAAAACCAAAAATAAAAACTTTCCAAGAGAAAGATAGGACAGTGGGCAAGGCACTTGCCTTGTGTGCCACCACCCCAGACCTGGGTTCCGTCCAGTACCGCATCTAGTGCACTGCCCAGAGCCGGGAGTAGGTCCTGAGAACCTCTTGGTGTTGGCCCCAAAAGAAAAACAAACCAGAAAAAGGAAAAAAAAAAAAATCTTTCCCCAGATGTCCAAAGAGTTTCATTATGTTTCATGATGTTGTTTGTGAACTTGTATTTGAAAGTCTCAGCAACTTGGATCCGATTGTTCTCCACTCCCTGGCTCAGGGTGCGGGGCTAGAGCCAGCTTGTCGCCAGGGCTCGGGGCAGTTCTACCAGACTGCACTGGTGAGGCTCAGAGGCGCTCAGGAAGAAGGGACCATGTGCCAAAAGGTTTCGATTTGTGTAAATAAGCAGCTGGGTCGTTTTAGAAGTTGTCACGATCCGGTTCATTTTGTTTTCAATAGAGGAAAGGTTTGAAAACTCCCACCCGAATGCCCGAGGAAGGAAAGGGCACCTTCCTGCGGCAACGGGGGTCCTGCCCCTCCCGGGCTGAGCCTGGGGTCCACGTCTGCCGCCTCCCCGGGCCAGCGGGATGGGCGCTGGCGCGACGTCCGCCCTCCTCCTCCTCCTGGGCGTCTGCAAATGTTGAAATCACACCTGCTGCTGAGGCCCCCGGGTGTTTCTCATCACTTTCCCAACGCTTCTCTCCCAGGCGCTCTGGCCCTGCCGTGCAAAGGCTGGATTCCCGGGCGTCCGCTCTGCGCCATCGCGGTTGACTTGAAGAACCCGGGAATGCCGACGACTGACCCTGGCCTCCCCTTATGAGCCTTGTGTGGCGCCCGTCGGTGGCCAGTGAAGCTTCCTCAGCGGTGGCATGATGACGTCCGCCGTGGTGGACAGTGGAGGGTCTCTTCTGGAGCTTTCCAGCGGCGGCTTGAAATGCCAAGAGGTCAGCAGCCCTCTCCCCACCCCCCCACCCCCACCTGTTCCAAGTGTCATGGTCCCCTGGGGTCCCGGCATGAAGGAATCTTACCGACAAGCATTTGAAAGGGTCCAGTATTGACTGTCGGGAGTCAGCAGTGTCCAGCATAGCGCGATGCCTCTGTACCCCGGAGGGTGGGAAACGGGGAGCACTGTGCCTGGGAGAATGCAGAGCAGCGGGGGCGCGCACGTGTCACTTCTTTTCCCTTTTTTGTTTTTTTTGTTTTTTGGGTCACGCCTGGCAGTGCTTCTGGCGTCGCACTCAGGGCTCACTCCAGGCAACCTCCAGGAACCTTATGGGATGCAGGGGATGGAGCCTGGCTCGGCCATGTTCTCGCTCCTCGTCCCTCCGGCCCAGAATTCTCAGAGCTGCCTCTGTGAAGACTCTGCCAGGCCTCGTAAGGCTCCACCTGCAGCGCCCCGGAGAGAGGGCGTGGAGGGCCGGAGTACAGGTTTGATCCCCGTGTGGCACACTCCCTAGGCCACCTGCCATGGGACCCCGGATAGCCATTTAATCATCACAGGGTCCGGGAGTTGCGCTTGTGCTCGGGAGGCAGATGGGCAGGAAGGCGGCAGAAAGCAGGGACGCGGGTGGGAGCGTTGCAGCGGCAGGGAGACGGCTAATGGATAGTGATGGATAGAGAGGAAGTACCAGGTGTGGGCACCAGGCCGCAGAACCTCACACTGACCCAAAGAACCTGGACTCACAAAGGGCACAGATTGTTCATGCAGTGTGAGATTTAACATTGCAAAGAATTCTTTTGGGGAAATTTTTTTGGGGGGCGGGGTAGGGCACACGTGGCAGTGCTGAGGGATTCCTCCTGGCTCTGTGCTCAGGGTTCACTCCTTGCGGAACTCAGGGGACCATATGGGATGCTGGGGATTGAACCCAGTCGGCTTCGTGCAGTGTGAGCATCCTCCAGCCCCTACTGACTGTCTGACCCCTCAGCAGGAGACGTTCAGAAGAGGCAGATATAATGGGGGTGCGCATGGCAGTGGGTGATGGCTACTCTATGGGCACAAGAGTGCTTTGGCACAATGCAAATTTCTATAGCGATAGTTTTTGTGATGGTAATTACAAATGTAATTCATAGGTCTGCATTTGTGAAAGGGCTGGGCTGGAGCGATAGCACAGTGGGTAGGGCGTTTGCCTTGCACGCGGCCGAGCTGGGTTTGATTCCTCCGTCCCTCAGAGAGCCCGGCAAGCTACCGAGAGTATCCTGCCCACACAGCAGAGCCTGGCAAGCTCCCCGTGGCGTATTCGATATGCCAAAAACAGTAACAACAAGTCTCACAATGGGAGACGTTACTGGTGCCCGCTTGAGCAAATCGATGAACAACGGGAGAACAGTGCTACAGTTCAGTGCTACATTTGTGAAAATCGCAAGCTGTACGTTTAAATAGGTGCATTTTATTTCAATGAACAGACCAGAATAAGTTGATTAAAGTAAATTAGGTCTGTTGCAGTACATTCCCATCAGCTTGGTGTTTGTTATGTAATAATATGCAAATAATTTATTTTCACAGTCTCAAAATGACCTCTGTTGGCTTTGAGGATTTTATTTTTTGTTTTTTTTTCTTGGAGATTTTGAGCCACACCTGGTGATGCTCAGGGGCTATTCCTGGCTGTGCCCAGGGGGTCATTCTTGATGAGGACTGGACTAGTGGGGATTTAACTGAAGTCAGCAGTGTGCAAGGCAGGTATCTTATCTGCCGTACTATCTCTCCAGATCCTCAAAAATAATAATAACAATGATTATTATTTGGTTTATACGTCATACTCAGCACTGCGCAGGACTTACTACTCCTGGCTCTATGCTTAGGGATTACTAAGAGGCTTGGGGGGATCATTTGGGGTGCCAGGAGCTGAACCCAGATCTGCCGCATGCAAGGCGCATGCCCTCCCCACTGTGCTATTGCCCGGGCCCCTCCTCACTCACTATGTTTCATTGAGGACGTCCTTTAGGTGGGGGATACCGCTCAGCAGTAGAGCCCTTTCCTGGCGTGTGTGCTGGGGGGTCGTGCCCAGCCACGAGTGCTTTCTGAGGGCTCGTGTGCCGGGGACACGGTGGTCCTTGCTCGGAGCAGACACTCCTTGAGTGGGCGTGTCTGAGCTTCCGCTGCAGCTTGTGGTCCTGAGGAGCGCCGGGGCCTGGGCTCAGTGTCCGGCATTGCCCGGGCATTCTTTTGATTGGATGTCTTGAACTCAAATGGAACTGGCTCTGCCATGTTTTGTTTGCTCACAGCCTTTGCTCTAGAGAGTGGGGTAGACCGTGCCAGGCCCGCTGGAGCTGGATTCTTTTCTTTCTTTTCTTTTTTATTTTAATATGTTATTTTTTTGCTTTTTGGGTCACACCCGGCAATGCACAGGGTTTACTCCTGGCTCCGCACTCAGGAATTACCCCTGGCGGTGCTCGGGGGACCATATGGGATGCTGGGAATCGAACCTGGGTCGGCCACGTGCAAGGCAAACACCCTACCTGCTGAGCTCTTGCTCTAGGCCTTCTTTTTATTTATTTATTTATTTATTTATTTAACTTTTTAATTGAATCGCTGTGAGATAGATCCTTACAAAGCTGTTCATGATTGGGTTTCACTCATACGGTGTTCCAACACCCATCCCTCCACCAGTGTATATTTCCCAGCACCAGTGTTCCCAGTTTCCCTCCCATGATCCCTACCCCCTCCCCCTCCCTGCCTCTATGTCAGGTCTTTTCTTCTCTCTCTCTCTCTCTCTCTCTCTCTCTCTCTCTCCCATCTCTGTCTCTCTCTCCCCCCCTCCCCTCCCCCCTCCTTTTGAGCACTGTGATTTGCAATATTGACACTGAAAGGTTATCCAGAACATCCCTTTCCCTACTTTTAACCCTCCGATCTTGTGCAGCGTGCTCATTCTGGAGCTGGCTTTCTTGCATTTTAATTAGTGTGTGCGCTGGGGACTTGAGCAAGATTATAGTAATCCTCGGTAAAATAACCTAGTAGATGTATAAGTTTTTTTTACTATATTATTTTAACCCCAAGACTGCTGATTCCTTCATTTCCCACTCTCCTTCCCTGGTAAAAATTGCTAACTCCAGTGCATAGCGCACGGCCGTCAGTATCTGCATCTCAGCATCGAGTCACCTCTGGGCACTGATTAGAAGGTTGAATCTATGAATGTCTGTTAATATTTTATTAGCTGAGCATTATCATTGGACGAGGCTACAGACTTCAAGTTCTGCCCCTCCTTGGAACTTGGCTTTGCGTGCATGAAAACGATTGGAACAGGTTGGATCTCTGGCTCCCAGTATGGACCCCCGAGCCTGCCAGGAGTGATCCCTGAGTGCAGAGCCAGGAGTAAGCCCCGAGCACGGCCGGGTGTGGCCCAGATCCTCCCCACCAAAAAAATAGCATGAGTAAAACTCACAAAAGCGGAAAAACCAAAACATGGGTGTTTCCAAGCCACGAAGGGGCAAAGCGAGTCACCGGGCAGCTGAGTGTGATGCTGGACGCGCACGAGGCCCGTGCAGTGTCTCCCACGTGCCCAAGCAGCTGTTTCCTGGCTCGCAGGCTTGGAGCCTGGAACTTTTTTTCTTTCTTTTTTTGGGGGGGCAGGAGTTTTGCTGGGTGTGCCCTGCGGTGCCCGGGGTTGTGCGGGAGTAGGTTTCATGGAAGGCCGGCACCCGGGTCCCTGCTGCTTCCTGTGACTTGGCCTCGGCAGAGGAGCTGGACCCCCTGCCCCGCCCCCATGGCATGCTCTCCTGCTCTTTCTGTTTACTTGCTGCTGCCACCGGAGGGCTTGCTCTCTGGCTCTGTGCTCAGGGGCCATGCGGGCCAGTGCTTGGGGACCTTGTGGGGTGCCGGGGACCGAACAGGAGCCGGCTGAGTGCAAGGCAAGGGCCCTTTCTGCTCTGCTCTCCCCAGCCCCGCCCTCAGAATTTTTACCTTCTACCGAGTACAGTGCTCAATGTTAATATTTAGTGTACACTTTAAAAAGAGAATCAAGCTTACCATAACTTTTTTTAAAAGTAAAATTTGCATAATACTTAAAAAAAAGTCGCATACACACACACACACCATTTAAGAATAGAGAAAGAATAGCACTGTCGCACTGTAGCATTGTCCTCCCGTTGTTAGTAACGTCTCCATTGTGAGACTTGTTGTTACTGTTTTTGGCATATCGAATACGTCATGGGGAGCTTGCCAGGCTTTGCCATGTGGGCGAGATACTCTCGGTAGCTTGCCGGGCTCGGGCAGAGGAATTGAACCCGAGTCGGCTGTGTGCAAGGCAAACGCCCTACCTGCTGTGCTATTGCTCCAGACTAGCAGAAAGAATCACTGTTACTGTCACTGTCACTCCTGTTGTTCATTGATTTGCTCGAGCGGGCCCAGTAACGTCTCCATCATGACACTTGCTACTGTGTTTGGCATATCGAGTACATCACGGGTAGCTTGCCAGGCTCTGCCGTGCGACGAGATACTCTTGGTAGCTTGCCGGGCTCTCCGAGAGGGGCGGAGGAATCGAACTCCTGTCGGCCAGGTTAGCCGCTTGCAAGGCAAACACCCTACCTGCTGTGCCAGCGCTCCAGCCTAGCAAAAAGAATATGTATGTAAAAAACATGTCATGGGAGTCAGAGCGGATTTGATCCCCGAGACGGCCTGGGCCCCTCCGGGTGTGGTCACAGAGCCAGGAAGTAGCAAGTCTTAACGACTTCACCCAGCCCCCGCACGCGGTGATAGCTCCTTCCTTCTGTCCCGGATCCATGAGACTCCGTGGCCCCTGGCGTCGGCCTGAGCTTCTTCTGCGTGTCGGTGTGGCCGGGCTTGGGAGGTGCCTGACGGCTTCTTCCCCGCTCTCGTAGGACAGCGAGAAGGTGCCCGAGTACCCGGCCGTGATCGTGGAGCCCGTCCCGAGCGCCAGGCTGGAGCAGGGCTACGCGGCGCAGGTGCTGGTGTACGACGACGAGACGTACCTGATGCAGGATGTGGCGGAGGAGCAGGAGGTGGAGACGGAGACCGTGGAGACAGGTGAGGGCTCCGGGCGGCGTCGGCCCTTCACACGGCCCTCGGGACACAGACACTCGCGGGATACGGGTTTCCGTCGTCATTCTCTCTCTTGTAGCCGGGACCCTAGGACAGAGCTACAGGGCCATAACTGGCCTCCTGAGCCCTTGTTCGTGAATCTTGCCGAGTGATGACTTGAAACCTGGTTAGTCTAGGAGAGAAACTTTTCAAGTTAAAAAATCGGATGGTCCCGTTCCCTGACGGAGCGTCTCCCGAGCCTGGGGCAGAGAGAGCCCCTTCCCGCAGGAGCGTCCCTGCAGTCATCCGCCAGAGTCCTCTTTCCCGTCCTCTCCAGGTTTTGGCATTTTAGTCTCTGTTGTGAGATAGCTGTGTATTTAATTTGGGACTAGGATGTCTGATTATTAAAGAAACCTTTTTGCTTTGGAGTGTTGGGCTGGAGAGATCGTCCAGCGGGTCGGGTGTTTGCCTAGCACGGGGCCCAGCCCCAGGTTCCAGCCCGTGGGGCCCAGGTTCCATCTCACGTGGTCCCCCTAGCATGGCCAGGAGTGATTCCTGAGTGTGAGTCAGAAGCAATCTTTGAGTATTGCTGGGTGTGATCAAAATTTAAAATAAAAGTTTTAGAAGAATTATTTTATGATTAGAGTTGCAAAACTTGGGCTGGAGTGATAGTACAGTGGGTGGGGTGTTTGCCTTGCACGCGGCCGACCTGGGTTTGATTCCCAGCATCCCATATGGTCTCCTGAGCACTACCAGGAGCAATTCCTGAGTGCAAGAGCCAGGAGTAACTACTCTGCATTGCTGGGTGTGACCCCCAAAAGCAAAACAAATAAACAAAAACCTTGAAAAAGCTCTTTAAAAAAAAGTTGCAAAACTTTGTTTTTGGTTAACAAAGGAAAAAAATTTCTTTGCTAGGTTTCCAACTGTAATAAACACTCCTCACCACTTAGATCTGTTCTGTAAAAGGAGCAAGTTGGGGGGGGGGGGCACATTGGTGTCTTTGCGGCGTGTCCGGAGCTGTGGCCCTCCGTCAGCCACCTCCAGCTCAGGCTGTCCTCTCGCCCGTCATGTGTGAGGTAGGGGGCAGGGAAGCCTCTTGCTGTGCCTGCTGGGGGGGACACAGGACAGACTGTGCCCTGGGTGCCGCCGTGTAGCCGGCGTCCAGCGGCAGGAGTGTCAAGACAGCGGCCCGAGCAGGTGGCGGAGGGGCTGTGCCCGGCCCCAGGCAGGTGATGGTGCTGCCGGCAGCTGCAAGTGGCCAGGAGGAAAAGAATGGATAGATGTTCGGGTTTGGTGCTGGGTGATGTGTCTGAGTGGGTGTCGCTACTTACCTTCTTAACATCACAGCTTGAGTGAAAGATGTAGAACTTGTGTGAAACGTCTGGAAGATGTTTTAAGAAAATAAGGAAGGCTTGACTTAAGAGGTAGATTTGAGACTCTTTCGGGGTTTGGGCCACACCCACACCTAGCGGTGCTCAGGGCTTACTCCTTGCTCAGTGCTCAGGGATTCTTCCTGGGGTGGGGCTTGGGAGACCCTATGAGGGTCTGGGGATCGATCTGGATCAGCTGTGTGCAGGGCAAGCACCGGACCTGCTTTGCTTTCTCGGACCCCACAGTTTGGGAGCCTTGCCCACCATGTCCATTCCTTTTCCTTTGGTCAGCAGAACCTTTCACCTGCCGTTGGCCACGCAGACCCCGCTGTTTGAATGATTAAAAACTCCAGTACAAAACTAGGGTATTTGTCGCGTCAGAGCACCAGAGCATGTTGGCTGGATCAGATTGATCTTATACTTTGTTGTCAAAGCTTCCTTCATGCAGATCGTTCAGGCAGAAGCACTCCAGGAGGTGACCATAGTCTCCTCCCAGAATTTTACTTTCTCAGTCTTGTAAAAGTCCGAGGAAGATGCTGTCATTGGCAGGGTGATTTATTTTTAAAATTTTTTAAAATTTTATTTTTATAAAGTTGTTCACAATTTATGACATTCAATATTCCAACACCAATCCCACCATCATTAAACCTTCCCATCACCATTGTTTTGAATTTTCCCAAACATCGCTCAAGTCTGTGCCCCAGTAGCAGGCCCTAAATATTTTATTTTGTATTGCTTGTTATGAATGATTTGCTAAAAATGATAAAAAAAAAGTTTCCTTAGAAGAAGGTGTATGAGGATTGTTGTATCTCACCTTGAAACATGTATTCGTGAGCTCTAGGAATTCTAAAATTTTAAGTAGGGTGTTGCAGCTGGAGTTAAAATTTTTTTTTTCAAGTATCACAATGTTTATTGATAGATACAAGTATAAAATCAGGGCATGAACATGACTTGATAAATTAAGTAGACTTGATTTCAATACTATATAATAAGAGGGACCAATTCAAATTCTCACCATTTGTTTCACACCCACAAAAACCACTTCAAGGGCATTAACGATCTCTGAAAACTGATTCAGTTTTGTGCAAGTAAACCATGTTTCTTGTGCACTTGCCCGGGCTCAAGGATATTAAAATCTAGCACGTAAAGCCCATTACTAGAGGTAGAAATACAGGCAATATATTTTTCCAGCAACAACCATCAATTACGGTTAAGAATTTTTTTTCTGTAACAACCAATGGATAATCAGATATTGCAACAACTCAAGAATTACTGAGCAAAGTGCATTTCTACAGTATTCAGTGTTGCTGTTCAGTTTTCTAACTTAAAACAGCCTATGATAACCGGGAGCAAAGAAGGTCTTGCAATAGACTGCCTCTGCTTGAGAATTTATGATGTAATTATTGCATGCTGCTAATATACTATCTAAACATTAAAGATACTCCTAAAATATTTGACGGTAGACTATGACTAAGAGGAGTTAAATTTCTAACTGGATGGTGACTTTGGGGTCTGGAGGCATCTCTGCAGCTCTTTGCTCTCTTCTGAGATTTATTTGTGAGTCTCTGAATCGTGGCTTATGTGAGCTTATGTGGCACCAGAGGCAGTTTGTGGGCGGGACTGCGGACTGAAGAACAGGAGGGGGGAGGTTGCCCGTCCCTGATGGGGGAGATTTCCGGCACAAAACCCACATACCTGAGTTTTTCAACAGATTCACTCTTTATGAGGCTCGTCCCAATCCGGTGGAGATGGGCCTTGAGCACGGTGGTGATCGGGTTCTGGGGGTTCCCGGCTGTTGGAGCTCTGTTTGTCCTGGTGGGCAGGGTGATTTTTTAATACTGGGCAGAGCACAAAACAATCTGAAGAGACAGTACAGCGGATGAGGTGCTGGCCTTGAGTAAGGCCAACCCGGTGCCATTCCAGCAGCCCATCCTGCGCCGCCAGGAGTGATCCCTGAGCGCAGAGCCCCGAGTGAGCCTTGAGCACTGCCGCCTGTGACCCGACAACCAAATGAACAGACTTGGTGACTTTGGAGCACACCCAGCAGTGCTCGGGGACTTTTCCTGGTTCAGTGTCCAAGAGTGACCCCTGGTGGTGCCGGGGGACCAAGTTGGCTGGGGATTGGAATCAGACCTGCGCTTGGCTGCCTGCAAGGTGAGTGCTTAATCCCTGGCATTTCTCTGGTCCCTCTGATGCCTTTGTGTGTAGGGGAGGGGAAGGGGGAGAGGGTGGTATTTGGGCTGCACCTGGCCGTGCTCAGGGCTTTCTCTCTGTTTTTGCATTTTGGGTCTCACTCGATGATACTCAGGGGGACTCCCCCGGGCTCTGCTCTTGGTAATCCCTCTGGCAGTGCTTGGCGGGCCACTTGCGGTGCTGGGGATCGAACCCAGTCAATGCATGCCAGGAAAGCGCTTTACTAGCTCTCTGGCCCTCAGTGCAGCTTTAAATGGGTCAAACTCTGAAAATCTATACTTTGGGCACAAGAAACATGAGGCAAAAGGTGGTTACAGTCTTTCTTTTTTTGGGGGGGAGGGGGAGGTTTGGGCTGTACCCGGTACTGCTCGGGGCTTCCTCCTGGCTCTGTGCTCAGGGCGTCTCCCGCAAGCTCCCTACCTGCTGCTGTGTGGTCTGTCCTTTAAGGCGGCAGGTTGGGATCAGGTGCACTTGTGGTGATGTGGCAAAAATCCGAACTAAGACTTGGAAGGAGTGGAGTGGGGAGAGGCCTGGCCTTTGCGCTCAGCCGGGTGCTGCCACCTGCAGGTCCACAAACAGGTGGGAACGTGGTTCGTGCTCGCTGTCCTGCCTGGCCTGTGCTTGCTGTGCCCTGAGCTCCGGTACCCACCGAGTGCTGTGTGGGTGCCCCTCGTGTTCCCTAGAGACGAATGAGGTGCTTGCTGGGGCCTGCATGGGCAGGTGGGGAAATGGCATGGGTGCTGCCCGCTCTTGGCACTCAGACTTGGCCATGAGGGCATCAGCTTCCTCGGAGAGAGCAGAAATCTGATACCGGCAAGGGTCCCTGAAGAGTCATGGTTTGCTAGTGGGTTGAGCTCCAGGCTTTGTAATTAGACCTTCAAGAAGCAGAAAGATCTGGAAGGTTTAGAATGGGAAGTGCAGGTAATTAGCAGCTCAAGAGTGAGGCTGCACCCTGGGGAGCTGTGGGCCTCTGTCTCTCGAGGGGAGCTGGCCTGGGATATAGCGGACTGACCGCGCAGGTGGACCGAGTGCTCGCGGGGTGGGCGCCAGCTGTGGCCTCCATAGCTCCTTTTTTTTTTTTTTTTTTAAATTTTATTGAATCACCATGAGATAGTTACAAGCTTTCATGTTTGGGTAACAATCACACAATGATCAAACACCCATCCCTCCACCAGTGCACATTCCCCACCACCAATATCCCCTGTATAACCCCCCTTTTCCGCCCTCCCCTGCCTCCATGGCAGACATGATTCCCATCATCTCTCTCTACTTTGGGGCATTATGGTTTGCAGTACAGACACTGAGGAGTCGGATGGGAGATGTGTGCCAAAGGTAGATAATGGACCAAACATGATGGCCTCCATAGCTCTTGCAATGATGACGGTTGTGTCATACACGAATTTACTCACTAAAAATGTTTAAAAGTTTGTTTTTTGCGGGGGG